AAACTTTCCTCTGTCGGGGCTGCCGGGGGCTCTGATGCATGTTTATTCAGGCTAACGCGCAGCTGTAAATAAAGTTTGAAGACTGCAGCGTTCAGCTGTCGTGCTCATCTTTTATAAATCCAACATGCATGCAGAGGATCTGTGACGCTGCCAGAGGAAACTCCTCTAACTAAACTTTTAATCGATGTCCTGCTGCTGCGGCGGCGTCCTGCTGGCAGGGACGAGAGGGTCTGACTGAGCAGCGGCTCGCATTAATAAACGCTGATGAGCCTGTTTTTCTTTAAAAGCCATTTCTGCTTTATTAGTGCGAGCAGAGTAAAGAGCGACAGGTAGAGACAGATGAGAGGAGCGGGTAAAGGTCATGGTGACAGTGATGCTCAGTGGCGCTCATAGAGCATATCTCCAGCTAATCCCTCTGCTAATACAACCAGTCACAGTCACGCCATTATTTCAGGCTTTAGTCTGAGACCGCGGTAGCAGGAACACTGCACTGGGCTTTTAGCTCATCAGACTCTTTTAGGGGTTTGGGAGTAAAATTTAAGTTTAGGTAAGTTAGGCTTTGACACTTTGTTAAAATGATTAAAATTAGAGTTAAGAGGCCTGTGAATGCATTAATGTCACGGCTGTTCCTTCCCCTACTCATGGACCGGAGCGGGAAGCAGCCAAAGTATGACAACCACTTATCCAGAGTACCTCAGCACTACTCTTCATCAGAGCCCCCCAAACACAGCCAGCGAGTTTGAAGTGGATTGGTTTAACAGCTGCTGAGATAAGCAAAGAAAAGAGACGGAGATACGGAAGTTTCTTCGTGTGGAAACACCCTGTTTGTTAGTGGAAGTGACCTGGAATAGAGCCTGTTTGTTATAGTCATCGGCCTTTCTGCTGTTGTCTATGAATGTGAAGGTTTAGTAACTGCAAATACTTAAATACTGTAGCATGAAATGATCATACTTCATAGTCCACACAGCGTCGCTGTCACAGCGAGGAGGCGGAGCAGTCGCCCCCCTGCAGCATACCTGCATTGTTCTGACAGACAGTGAAGCAGCACCAGTCCAACTGTTTGCTTGTGACTGTGTTGTTGGCTGTTTTGGGCGGAGCATAGATTCTCACGCCGCTGTTTCCTGGAACACATTTCTGTGAGACTGTGCCACAAATCATTGTTAAAATACACGGAGGTGCGTTTGCTGCTCTCTGCAGACGAGCTGTCGAACACCATCAATGAGCTGCTATTGATCTCTGCGTGCACACAGCAGGAGATGATGGATGATTTAAATTTAACGCTCAGGTTTTTTGTGTTTCAGGGCTTCGGCCAAAGACGCCACTTAAACATTAATTAATTAGAAAACAACTGCAGCAGTTCAAAAACAGCTAATGTCACTAGTCTCTGGCTCATACGTCTCTGACGGGGTTCAGCGGTTTGTGTCTCAGCTGAAGGTGGCGTGTGAACTGCCAAAGCCTCCCCTGTGCAGTGAGGAAACAGCGTGTTTGTGCAGTTTGGTAGATACCTGCTGGACGAAGGTCGAGCTCACCTAATCACCAGGAGAGGAGCTGGACCGCAGGACGGATACACTCACATCCTGGTCCCTGGACGTCGGGCTATTCTCCGGTGAATGAGACGGTTGTGTCAGTAAAGTTTGTGCTTACATTTGTACTTTGGTGATAATTTCTAAGAGTAAGGAATCACAAGATGAAAAGTTAAACCAGACTACAACCAGTAATTCTCAGGAGCAGTTTATTAAAAGACAAAACAAGAGCAGGCCAGCAGACCAATAACTGAAACTCCCTGAAACCAGCCACCTAATCTCGCCCAATTGATTCAATTTTATTTACATAGCATCAAAACACAACAACTCAAGTCACTTTACATTGTAACAAACTTACAGTAATACAGAGAAAAACCCAACAATCATATGACCCCCTATGAGCAGCACTTTGGCAACAGTGGGAAGGAAAAACTCCCTTTTAACAGGAAGAAACCTCCTGCAGAAGCATGTGGCCTGTCTACATTCCCAGTGACCAACAGGGAATGGGAGAGCACGAAGACAGTACAAAGACACTCTGTGGAGCCAGAGATTAATAACAAGCCTTCCTGTGTTTGCTTCACTTTCCTGTTACTTCCTTAGTTTCTCGTGGCTCTGTTCCTGTTGGGTTCGGCTCTGATGTTGGTTTATGTCAGAGGGAAGGCTCAGATCTCCCAGCTGAGTGGCTTCCCTTCTCTTTGGTAACTTTGGCGCGCCTTCTGTTGGCCATGGTTAATTTCTTTTGCTTCTTCTTAGATGTTAATAACTGACAGATTTCTTGGAACCACTTCACTCTTTTTAGTTAGGCGGGACGTGTTGTGTAGAAAGACTTTCTGGGGGTTGTGACAGTTGACAGTAAGAATTCAGGTTTTTTATTAATCCATGCGTGCTGCCCTGATAAATATATAAACCTCATGAAAACAGAGGCGATACGCAGACTGTGCGTACTAACTCTGGAAACACAGGAACGCCCACACTCAGGCTGGTGGTCGAACAGCGACACCTGCTGGTTTGTGCTGATTTAGCCTCTCATTTACGTTTCTGCTGATTTTCCCACCTGAAGTCACTTGTTACCGTCAACGGATCAGATTTGTTTAGGAAGTTGTGTAAATGACCCAGAAGTGCTTTCTTAATCACATCAGCAAAGGATGCGCTGGAGGATCCTTTGTAAAGGAAAGCAGTTAATGACATCCCACAATTCATAGCTGTGGACCAACATGTTCATTAATGATAATGTGTTTTCCATTTCATGCCATAACATGTTTGAACCTGTGTCAGGAAAAGTGATTAAGAAAAGACGTTTGATGAGAATGTCAAAATAAAAGTCCTGCAACTACATTTTAGCTGCTCAGTGACTATTTCTGAGCCTCAGTCAGTAAAGCACAGAAGAAGCTCATAATCATTAGCATTAAACATGTGCTCCCAAAGAGCCAAGACATCTGACGGTGAAACACATTCCTCCATCAGAGGTGGAAAAAACAATCACCTCAACTGTTTCAGCACGTTTTCCACAATCCACTAAAAATGAATAATTAAAAGAAATTTCAGATGCCAAACAATTATCATCGTCAACATAGATTTTTATTAACCAGTGTCTCTTTATAGAAATGGTATCACATCACGTACAAGCACGTTCAGTCTGTCCACGTAAAGATGAGCAGTGCCATCTCTTTATTAGTCATCAAAGAAAAGCAGGGTTTGATCTGAGAACAGCCGCTGACATGCAGAAACAGCAAAGCTACAAGAGGAGATAACACTGATTAAAGGTCTCGGGTGAAAACAGACGGGGCTGTGGAAACATTATGAAATCAACATAAATAACGAGGGACTCCTTTTCTATTAGAAAACACAGAGACTAAAGTAAGATGTATAAAAATAAGGCATTTCCAGTTATTTTATAGGTGAACTGTGATTTTGTTAGCAGCTAGTGTCGTCACCTGTCGTGTGGTGGCGGGCTGATGAGCTACTTTCATCCATGATACATGAACCTGGATTGTTCTCATGTTCTTGTCATTTATCGTCAGTGGGTGTAGCAGCAGCAGCCCCTTTGTCCACCTGTCAATCAAAGAGGCCACACCCCCAACAATGCAAATTTTAAGCCTTAAGATCATTTAAACAGGAGAGTTAGCCAAAGAGAACGAAACCGTTTGTAAACACGTTGATTTCTGCTGTAAGATCAGACATTTCAACATCTGTGGGGACTGACTCACTGCTGGAGCCTCAAGAGGCCATTAGAGGAACTGCAGATTTTGGCACTTCAGCATCAGCTCAATTTTGAGGTTGATTCTCGTATAAAAGCCTTAAAGATTCAAAGTGTTTTGTTGTGTTGGTTTCATATTTTCACTGTGAGCTGTAAATCTTGTGAATTAAGGAAAGACACTGAAAACTTTGTCCCTGAGTTTGTCCTTAAGGCAGCGTTTCTCTGTGGCCTCGATGCAGTTTTACTAGAGACCAAATAAGGGAAACAATACTCTGGTTTATTAAAAGGTGTATTAACTTCCTCAATATGGACAAAAGTACGGGACCACCTACGTAAGACAGCTGTAAGAGCTGCTTGGCCATGCAAGAGGAACTTTGGAGCGCTGCAGCCTTTGACTCAACAGAGCGTCGGCGACTTTTGCAAACTGTGCGCCCGAACACTCGAGACCTCGTTCAATTACTTTACACAGTCTGTCACTGCATGGCCGAGTGCCTAAAAGCTTCCACTTTGAAATAATACCCCCGAAAGCGTGGTGAAACATTTAGGAGGGAAGTCGGACTTGATGCAACAATGGTTTCCTGTTACAGCACCTACTTCAATTCAAACTGACAACCCCTGAATTCAATAATTAGGAGATGTGACCCAGTACTTTTGTTCATAAGCGTAGTTCTTGTACTATTGCAGAAGTTCTGAAACCTTCAAGATCTGCCATTTAGATCAGCGGTCCCCAACCCCCGGGCCTTGGCCCGGTACCGGTCCATGAGTCGTTTGGTACCGGGGCGCGAGAGTTGAGGCTCAGGTGTGAAATGTATGGTTTTCAGGGTTTTTATCGGTTTTCAGCATTATTTTGTTATTGTTTTTATCGTTAACTCGGTTTTCCTGGGTCTTTTCACGTGTGATATGAATAAATCTTTTTTTCGGTACCGGTACTAGTTTTATTTTGTTGCATTTATCTTAAAGGCCGGTCCGTGAAAATATTGTCGGGCATAAACCGGTCCGTGGCGCAAAAAAGGTTGGAGACCGCTGATTTAGATCATCCTGAAATATACGGATCTCCTGCTCTCCAGAGGATGAACTCTAAAGATTTGAATTACCCCTGGACTTTGCCTTCTATCGCCTCCCTCAGGACAAACCCATCTTAATGTTTCTTCTGACCTCCCAAACACTTGTATTTTCCTGACGTCATTTGAATGCAGCATCTCCTTTGAGTTAGAAATAAAGGTCTTTATCAAAGGGTGGAGTTGGTGCCATTTTCACCACAAGCTCCACCCCTTTTCCCTCTACGATGGAAGAACTTCCTCAGACGTCCTTGAACTGCTCACCGCCTGCTGCTGGTTGTGTTTCCCCATTTTGTTCTCCGGACTGATAGTGAGGGCGGAGTCAGAATCTAGGTGGTGTATGAGGGTGGGGTTAGGAGAGCAGTGAGCATCATGGGCGGAGTTAGGAACTGGGTTGGGGTGTGTTTCTGGGACCGGGTCTGAACGAACTTCTGTCCTATCGCATGGTTCCTGCTGTGTTTGTGTCTCTACTGTAAGCTCCACCCCTGCCCCCTCTACATTGCCCATAAACCCAGCGCACCCTGAGCAACTCCTGCTGTGCTGTGGCCCCTCCTCCATATTTATGACCCCTCTCTTGAGGTACCCTCTGGGCCGCGTCCGCCTGTCTCTGCGGCTAACATTGGTACGCCCGTTTCGGTGGCCCTGATTGGTTCTGTCGCTCTGGCTCTGGATCCGTTGAGCCCTCTGCAGGGCCATGGCAGCCAGGTCTGAGTGCGATGATGTGCTGTCGATCAACCTCCTGCCCAGAGCGAGTGGGCGGACGGGCAGTGCCAGCCTCAGCCTGAGCCAGAAGCGAGAGCGCCGCGGTTCAGATCGGGTTCCTCGCCATGTGACGGTGGTGATGGTGGCCTGACGGAGCTGAGGGACCTCCACGCAGGCCAGTTTGCTGACTGAGCGGTAAACCACAGCGATAATAGAGGCTCGGAGACTATTCTCGAGGTACAGACCGAGACGACACTCCAGGAGACTGAAGCTCTTTTCTGCCAGGAAGTTTGGGCTGAGAACCAAGAGGAGGCGGCGGCTCCGCTGCATTGACTGCAGGATGGCCTCTGATAGGTCTGACAGGGGACAGACAAAAAGACTCAAGGACTGCAGCTCAAGGTTCAGCTTACATCCACACGTACACGGGTACTTTTAGCTCTGCCACGAAGGAGACGTGGCAACTTTAGTTTGTCTGATCGTTCCAGAGTTACTGAAAATGTTACGGATAGATCTGCATAAACATTTCACCATAACATTAAAGGGATTCTTCACCTGAGATATGTCAATGTTGGACATTTAGTTGCAAATCTTCATGAAGACACATCAAACTGGGAGACATTGTCTTTATGTTCTCCACAAAATATCAGATATCAGGGGCTTCATTCATTCATGGTGTGGAGGGAAGCTACGACCGAGGCATAGTTTTATTTTTGTGTGTGTGATTCTGAAAATGGAAGACATCAAATAAAAAACACTGACATGAATAATGATGGTGAAAGGAAAAGACTTTTATACCAAAAAACAGAAATAAAATAACCACAGTTCACAGCGTGACAAAGTGCAGGATGCATTCTCTCATTACAATACTGATTGTTCAGGTTAGAGATAAATAGCGTAGCATATTTTAGTAAGAAAAATATACAATGAGAGCTGATTTTTTGTTGAAATATCAAATATAAAGTGGAAAATAAAGAAAGTGCACAGTAATTAACAAACAAATAACAGGTTACTCAATGCTGATATCTAAAACCTGCAGTGCATGAAGCATGAATCCATACTTGGTTTTTCTTGTGTTGTTTAGCAGGTACGATAACTCCTCTATGCAGATGACACCCAGCTTTACCTCTCTGCTGGCGTCTGTGCAAAAACTCCTCAACGTCACAACTATCCAAGCGATGTCACATGTGTGCACGCACAAATCACACAGGTAACCGTACCCACCAGTCTTTAAGAAAATGTGGGTGTTCCCTGACTGGTTCCTGGAGGTTGCTGTTACTGGGTGAAACTGGTTGTACCAAAGACCTTGGATGCTAACAGATTGCTGTAGCTGCACCTACGTTGGATGAAAGTGTCCGATTTGTCTGAAAACACTGTCAACTACTGAGCGGTAATGAAATCACTTGTTGCCATGTTTGCCTTCAAAGTAAAAGTTGTACTTTTTGAGTGGATTTCAGTTCTAAGGCAGAACTTTGTCTTTGAAGGCAAACTATTCATTTCCGGTTTGTGTCGCACTTTAAGTTTTACGACTGTCTGGTGGTTATTTAGTGGGTATTTTCAGATAAGTCAGTATCTTTCATACACACTACAGGTGATTGTGTAGTGACCTGCTCATTAGGCAGGTGTTGTGCTCTTTGTAACCAATTAAAATGACGACTACATTCAGCTACAGAGGACATACAGATATATAAATGGAAATGCTCCCCGTCTGTGGCACATGTGATGTGTTAGCATCCATTGTATGGATTTGAATAAATTTTGTATAGATGGTCATGGCCCCCCCCCCTCCCCGAGGATGACTCTTACCCACTTTGTTATCCTGACACCTCTCCACGAGTCCCACCAACAGGTGACCTTTGGTTTTTAACAGATATGTAGAAAAAAACGATAGAACCCATATGAACCTAACACTGAATGCTAACATGATACAGATATAGGACTTGATTTTAATCCACCTCTATAGTCTATTAGTGTGTTAACTGTGTGTTACGATTTGATTAACATGTGTTTAAGGCTATTTTGTGCATGTTTGCACAAAACACTGTAAAGTAAAACCAGACCTCTTTTATAAAGCACCAGTTTAGAAAACACAAAAGTTTTTAACTCTGGACAAACAAAAAAAATGAAATACATAAATGTGATAATGACACATGTGATAATGAGTGGATACTGTAGATGATGAAATGGCAGCTAATATCAAAGTTAAAATAAAATGAGTGAAATTGAAAACCTGTAAAACAAACACTTCTATCGAAGCATCTGCATCGTCCTCCTCCCGCTCTTGAGGGCGACCAGCTTTAACGGCATCGTGACTTCAGCTCCAGGACTGACAACACAGACTTCCTGTTGTAATGAACACTGCAGCCTCTAGGGGCGCTTTCAGCATTTTAACTAACGAACTAACCCTTTAAAAATGTTAGTCTGAAGCTCGTTTTTAGCCATGCTAGCAGCTTTGCAGTAAGGACGGTAACATCCACGCTTGAACGTTGATGTTCAATGAACCACTTCAAACAATCACGGTTTCCACAAAGATGAACTCCTTTCCGCAAAGCACGATTAATTGGTCCTTCGAGAGCCGGAGCCCTGGAGTCGACATTCACCGAGGGGAGAAGAGACACGCTGAAAGACTGACGTCAGTCAGGAAGTTCCTGTAGTAAAGTCCCGAGATGCTAAGCAACGGCAAGTAAGTTGGAGAGTGACTCTATAATCGCAACTGGGTTTGTCTCCCGAAGCTGGGTTTGTGTCCCGCAACTGGGTTTGTGTCCCGAGAAATCGCCCTGGGTTTGTGTCCCGAGTGTCCCTTCATTGGGTTTTGTCGCGTGACTGGGTTAGGGTCCCGAAAGATTGGGTCGGTGTCCCGAGTGTAACGGTGAGAGTTCGAAGTAGGCCTAATTTGTGTTGTTGTTGTTGTTGTCATATGCGTTTGTGTGAATGCTGCGGAGCAGGTGTGGTCTGTGACACGGTTGTTGTTGTTATCATAGGTTCCCGAGCAAGTAAGACTGCATCACAGGGAGACAACGCATTCATGCAAGAATTCACTCCCAGCAGCGCGAGATATTCATATTCTAATACAAAACTGTGATTTTGAGGGTAAATTGGTTGCTGTAAAATGTTTAGATTCAAGTCTTAGAAATTTTCAGAAAAAAAAACCCGCCTTGAAGAGTGTGTGGAGAAGGCCAGCCCACATCAGCAGCAGTTAAGATATGCTCTGGTGAATGGCTTTCCCCCACCCCTTGCTGACACAAAATGCTTAGATTATTCTTTGGCTTGCCCTGATCAACAACAGCCTGTGCTCCAGACCTTAGATTTAATTGAGGTGGATAGTTGTTAAAAGTAATCTGCATTAAGCTTGTGGTTGCTCAAATTCAGTACAATGACATATGAGATGAAGTAAAATAGGTAAATATTTAAACTAATGATGTGCATAGAGGCACTTGACCTGTGTGAAAGACTGTCGTCTTATTATGAGCCATTGTTGAGATGTAGAAAACAACTGTGAAAACAACTAATATGCTGAACCCTGTATGAAACATCTAAAAGTACATGATGGAGAAGCTGAATTGAATATGAAAGTGCAAGTCTTTGCCACTGTGGGGCAAAGCACGCAACCACTGTGTGAGGTTGCGTTGTGGTCTCTTCTGAGCTGATGAGCAAGCTACACATTATCAGATCGAGAGCTGGCTGAGAACTCATCAAAGAGAGGGAAACAGAACTATAATAACTGTGATAACTGGAGTGTGCAGCGTTTCTGTGAGTTCAGCTTCTTCTTTCAGATGTGCAGCAGTTTTTCTGCATCTTGACTCATGTGTGTAGAGCGTTCATAGCATCAGCATCATGATTCTATGAAAAGCACATGAACCAGAAGCTATGGTGGTGATGACAGCAGTTTCCTATGAACATCACCTAATGCTGTGCCACTGCACTGTGCATATGATGACACTCTGAAGACTGCTGGGATCATAACAGCAGTAAGATAACTGGACCCAGCACCCTTTCCACAGAGGGGTTTTCTGCAGAGCGTGGACAGTGGAGGAGTCATAAGTACCCCCCTCGCAGGACGAAGGCCTGAAGTGAGGTGATGGGGGTTGGTAGAGGCCATAAAACTAGAGTGCTGAGAGGTCTGCAGCTTTCATGATAGCTGAGACCCATGTTGACAAACAACAAAACCAACTGGTATGTTTGAATGCTTATTCTACTCTGGTCCTATGGACAGTGATGGAAACAACTGGAAGAGACATTCATGACGCCCTGCAGAACTCAAACCACTCTGCATAGATGATGGGTGATCACAGCAAAGCTGGGATGTTTTTGAAAATGTTACTTTCTTATTTTAACTATTAAATTAACAATTCATTTGTTTGCTCGTAGGATGCAGTTTGCCATTGGATGAGATCAATGAGGAATGGGATAACTGCTAATACATTTGTCAAACTGTGTACGGTTACAGTAATTTAGGGTGATTGACATATGCTGTGTATAAAAATGTTTGCATTGAAACTGTCAAACATGAGGTGATCATAACTTTTCTAGCATAAAGGTCAAAAAGGGGGGAATGTTAGGTTTTGTATTGTTGATTGTCATTTATGCTTAGAAATATCTACTTATATATGCTTAGAGTTTTATAATTAGTTGTAGATTGGTAGAGGTTTGAGCCTTAATAGTCTGCAAACTTTGTGTGCACACCTACATCCTGGGAGCATGGGAGAGGTCGTACCTTGTCTTATTGTTTCATGGTAGGATAAACGTGGCTGTATCTGTTTTAGGCTAAGTGCCTTTTGTTTAGATGAACTGCTGGACTTCCAGACCAGCAGGTTTAGGGAAGTTATTTATGGGGTCACACTCTGACCACACACACACACACACACACACACACACACACACACACACACAGACACACACACACACGGTACTCTTTGTTTGTATGTAGACGTCATATGTTAATGAACTTATGCATATTCATGTAACCTCAATAAAAGAGCAGTGTTACGGGGGAGCGGACGAGAGCAACTGGGGTCAAGCAAAGGAACGGCGTTTGTCCGGTTCTCTCCCGTGCACGAGAAACATGAAGAACTTTGTCTACTTCGTGTCTTGCTTGCTGTGTAATTATATTGTCTTCAACGTTCCAGCGAATAGGTTCAAGCTACAAACCTGTCAGGGAGATTTACATTTTCCTTTTTAAATATCTGCACAGCTGTTAGATGATTAGTGTGAAATATGGCTCGCACATACATGGACGTCTGTCCTCTGAGCTGCACGTGCTGGGCTCGACCTGCACCGACGGTGTCGAGCAGCCAATCCTCTGTTCTCAGCTAGATGTAAGAAGTTATTCCGTTTTTTTCTACCTTACGTTTTTGTAAAATTCATAGTTCATTCCAACCGTATTTTTTAACCGTTTTTAAATTACTTGAACTATTTTGTTCCATTTGGGAGGTTTTGGTTATTGTGCAGCCTGTTGGTCAATGATTATATAGTTCATAGAAATAAACTACTGTACTCACATGGTGTTCTATGTCAACCACAGTCAAGAGTAAACTGTTATATTTAAGCACCAAGAGCTACGCAGCTATGTTTAGGCATAA